TCACATCTTATTAGAAACTTATGGTTAGTTTGATTCTCATGATATAACTAATGCATATTTATACATTATACTTTGAATGTAAAAAAAAAAAACACCTTGTATTTAAATAAAAATGTGGTTTTTAAACAAAAAAAATATATTTATACGGTTTAAAATGTAATAAAAAATATATTTATACGGTTTCAAATGGAAAATTGTCAAAATTGAACAAAATTGGAAAAAATGATGTTCGATTTGGAACAAAAAAACATAGTGTCAAAACTGAAAGAAAAATTTTAACTTAGTGTCAAAATCGAAAAAAAGTGAAAACTTAGTGTTTTTTGTGGAAAAAAAATTCAATTTTAACACGTCAGCATATCATGTCAGCATGCCACATCATCAAAACTGACACGTTATCATGTCACGTCAGCATGTAACCTGGTTAACCGGTCAAGTGGTCAGAATTGTAACAAATTGGAAAACACAGTGTCAAATTTGAGACAAAAAAAACACGGTGTCAAATTAGAATTTTGGTGTAAACGGAGTGTTTTTTACGCTCTTTACCTTTATTTAAATCGGTATTGAAAAAATCCCTTTTACGATGAATGAAAATACAAGGAGAAATCTTGTAGCGTATTGTATTTTCCTAAAATTATAAAATAAAGTTTAATCTTAAATTCAAATTTTGGACTTTCCTTCTAAAACATTGATCAAATATAAATGGCTTTTACATATATGGAAGGTTACTATATACATTAATTAATATTTTAATAAAATTAATTAATATGAGGTGATATTTATTAGGTGAAATTTGAATAAGAAAGAAAATAAACATAAAAAAGACAAGTAGATATTAAATAATTCAAAAACCTAGAAAATAAGTTTCCAGTTCAATGAGAAAACTACATATGACAAAATGAATCTTTATTTTTTAATATAGATGGATTTTGGATAGTTGAATCTTATTTTATAAATAAAAATTTTGGTTGAAAATTTAAAAGATTAAAGGTCCACTCATTTGCATCATTTAACATATGATAATAATAATAAAAAAATAAAACCATCATATATGGTTATCTCAAGCAACCTCCAAAACCAAATAAAGTATAATATACTTTTTTTATTATAGGTTGTAAAGTGTTTTGAAAAATCAGATACCTCATTGTCGATGTAGTATGCCTAAATTCAGATAATGGTTCGATCTGTAGGATCGGATGGGAGCAGTTTGTGGACATTGGAGTGGATTTCATCTAAAAAATCGATTATGATTAGCAATTTGTAAAGTTGATTATATAAAAACATGGAGCTTTTTAGAATTGGGGTTGATGGTAATAGGGGAGCTCACTTTGTTATTGAAATCTTCCTCCATGTACTTGTACTTGATGTATTTGAGGTTGAGGACGAACATCTTCACATTTTGAATTTTACAAGACTAAATATTTGTGACTTGTGGTTTTCTCGCAAGGATTTCCATCTGTATTATATGTTCTAAATGTTCTTAGTTTGCTTTATAACAAAATCAGTGGAATTAAATGGAGTATATAATAATTTATTTGACAAGTATCCAAATTGTGTATATAATCATATGAATTATATAGTATTTGCTCATACCACATTTGTCATTTGAATCCATGTTAATTAAACTTTTAAATGATTATTTATATTTATATTGATTTTATAGCATTGAACTTCAATATATATATACAATTAAAAATTCGATAATATATAAAATATGATTATCTAAGAATTTAAAACATTTTGTAGGTACCAAGTATATTGCAATTATTAAAGGTATTGGAAATTATAATAGAAATAATAACGTGACTAGTTTTCTTATCAGTTGTCATATATAGGTAGGAGGAAGAATATTTGATGGTTTTATAAGTCTTTTCTTGCACTTAGTTTTCACAGTTTTTAGTGGAATAGCGAGATCTTCTCTACTCTCTTCTTTATTCTTATATTTATATAGCAGGATGTTTCAAATTTCCGGTTCTTCCGTATTTCTAAGATACCATTTTGTGTCCGTGACTAGTGAAAAGAACGACGATTTGTATTTAATCCCGGTGTTTTATGTTGAAGCTTACAATTATTGAGTGATGTAAAAACTTTTAAGGACGATAGTTCTTTGTTGCCTATGTTAGTCAAGAATCAACAATCTTCAAGTTGGTTTTATTTTATGTTTCGTCTGTTAATTCGTTTGATAACGAGACACTTTTTTTATTTTTATTTTTTCTTATAATCACATCTAACCGTGAATGGTTAATCTGATTTATGGATGAAAGGTGGTAATCTAATAATAATATTTTGATTTATAATTGTGTCGATTTAATTTCTTAGTATTATTTGTCGGCATGTTTGTTTTTCATATCCTCTCTAATAAATGAATGTTTTTTTGTCACTTGTCACACTCTCATTCAATTTGCTAAATGTCATTTTGTGGTTATTTTGAATTAATTTTTTTTCCAAATGTCATTTTATGAATTTTTCTATTTTATTAAATTTAACATAATATTTTAATGTGATAATTGCAATAAATAAAGTAATAAATAGATATCAATTTCATTAATAATCTTACCTTTTAATTTCAAAATTCCTAAAATTAAAGCTTATTAGTTTTTTTTCTTTATTTAAATTACTAGTTTATAACCCGTGAAAATCACGGTTATAAAATTAATTAAACTTTCATATAAAAAAATCAAAATTATTAATCAATTATTTTTAATAAATTATTACTTAAAAGATATTTTTTAGTTATATAAAATTATAATCGTTGATTTAAATAAATACGTGAAGTTATATCACCTTATAATCTGTATAAAATTTATTTTATTTTTTAATATAATATTATTAATTTAATATAATTAAAGTGAAAAAGTTTAAAATTTAAAATTTAAAATTTAATGTAATTAGGGTGGGAAATTTAAAATTTAAAATTTGAAATGAATAATTAATATGTTGACAAGTGACATGATATTAGACATATAATATTAATGAGGAAGTTTAATATAATGACCCTTGTCAATAGGTGAATAAATCTATTTATTTACTAGATGAATGCCCGTGCGTTGCCCAGAAAGACTTATATAGTTGAAATCTATATAAATATATGTTTTTTTTAGTATAACAATAACGTTGTTGTTAAATTTGATATAATAATTTGTATACTAAATTGATATAATATATTGATTATCTTGAATTATATGATAATATATACATATATTATAACGGTATAATCTCAACCATTTGAAAGACTTCTACCCGCGACTTACTCATGAATAAAATTAAATATAATATATGGTTTAATGTTATTTATAGTTGTTATTGTTAATTAATTTTTTAAAATGTATTTGTTTAACGTTTTAATTTCTATCATTATAATTATTTAAAACATCAAACATTGTTTTTTTTATTTTAAAGGTAACAATATAATCATTTATATAGACTTATATTTAACTATTATTATTATAAGTTATTTTAAGTTACTTATTTGAAAATTTTTAACGATTATACAAATAATCTTTAGGAAATATTTTAGTTAAATTGAGATTATAATTATGTTTTGCATTTAGCACTACAATTTATCACTTTTAACTATTTACAAAATATTCATTGAATTTTTTAAGTGGAACTGAAATTTATATTTAAGTTGACACTGTAATGTTATATTTAAATTAATAATTTAAGTATTTTGTCCAAACTGTTCAAAAGTTGTAGCTTTAAATTGATAATGGTTTACATACAATAACATCTTAATCTAATAAATTAAGTATAATTTGTTAAAAATTAAAAACATAACTTTATAAGTAGAAGTAAAGATGTTATTTTAATATTGAAATTTAGTTTATTTATGATTACACTTTAGGTTTGATATTTATTTAACGTTATTAACCAACTTATAATCATTATTGGAAAGACACTACAATTTATCACTTTTAACTATTTACAAAATATTATTTGGGTTATTTAAGTTAAACTAAAATTTATATTTAAGTTGATCCTGTAATGTTATATTTAAATTTATAATTTAAGTATTTTATACAAATTGTTCAAAAGTTGTAGCTTTAAAATGATAATGGTTTACACCCAAAAATATATTAAAACTAATAAATTAAGTATAATATGTTAAAAGTTAAAAACATAACTTTATAAGTAGAAGTAAATATATTATTTTAATATTGAAATTTAGTTTGTATATATGATTACACTTTATGTTTGATATTTATTTAATCTTATTAACCAACTTATAACCATTATTATGAAGAAATTGAAAAGTCATGGGAGTTTCAAATGAATGTGGTGAAAGGAAAAATGCATGGGAGTTTCAAATGAATGTGGTGAAAGGAAAATGCTAGCTTTATAAGATATATAGATATAGATATAGATATAGATATAAATATAGATAGATAGATATAGATATAGATATAGATAGATATAGATATAGATATACATATAGATGGATAGATATAGATAGATAGATATAGATAGATATAAAATATAGATTAGAATAGGAAGATTTGTTTAAGTTTAAAAAATAAAAAACATTTTCATTATAATAATTCATTATTTTCTTATTTTCTTGTAAATTCAAAATTGTCAAATATTTTGACCTTTATATTTAACTTTTTTTTAAATTAACTCATATAATACAAGGGTCTTACAACTAGTTAATAACAATCCGATATTAATTCCTAATATTAATTGTCAGATTGTTTGTTTGTTAATTCCTAATATTAATTGTCACATTGTTTGTTTGTTAACTGTAAAATACCAAAAAAACCAAAAAAAAAAAAATGGTAAATGGACATTCTATCAAGTTTTACGCATAATCAAGCATAGCAAAACGAATAAGTTTAGAATATAGAATTTCATTTAGCCCCATTGATTAAAGAGAATAAATGCTAAAACAGTAAGATTGTAGTCATTATATATAATAAAACAAGATACATTAGCTCAAGCTAAACCGAAACACCATGACATCAAATAATGTTTAAACAAGCAAAGAAAAACATAACAACAATTTCATGCAACACTTGGTGATCTAACTATTGGGATTGAAACATCATATATTCATGAGTTTCACAAATGTAATTTCAAGTAGCTTTTGGTGGTGGTCTAGCTTTTGTAAGCCATTTATAGAAATCGATGTGTATTTCTTGGTCTGGGATCACACCCTTAAGGCTTTCATGTGACAGCATACGTTTTGACCATTCTATAAGATTTGGGGTCCTAACTTCATCAAATATCTTGAAATTGTTATGATTTCCAACAAATTTTGTCCAACCTAGAAAACATCCAAGAACAACATCTAGATATCCCACGTCATCTCCGCCAAAATAAGGCTTCCCATTACTAAACTTCACAAATAAATTTTCTAGTACATGTGATTTTTCGATAATCTGTTTTTTTAGGACTTCTTTTCCCTCTTTATCGGGTGTTTTCCTCAACCTTCCATATAAAGGAAAAAACTGCCAAACAAAATGGATATATGTAAATAAAACAGATTATACAACGACAATAAGTTATAATTATGGTGTATCAATTTGCAAAATTTGACTCTTTAGGTATATAACAAAATTAAAACTATCACATAAATCCAAATAGAAATTATAATTTTTTGAGTAAATTACATTATTAAGTATTGTTAGTTTTTGTAAATTTTGTTTCTACCAAGTCTTTTCTTGCAAATTTGACCTTTTTTGTAACATTTTTTTATGGTCATTCTAAATGATGCAATAATTTCTGGTTTTAAGTTAGTTGATTTTTGTAATTTTGGCCAAAAAAAATAGTCATATACTCATATTACTTAGAATATGGAGAGAAAAACGTTATAAAAGCTTAGAAAAATACTAACTATTTAAAAGAAAATTTTTTAATAACAAAACTACAAAATAGTGACAAACCAAAAATGTAATTTACTCTTTTTTTTCAACAATGATTGAATACATATATAATTTAAACTTTTAGCGACCAAAATTTAAGAAAACATAAGATATGAAAATTCATATATCATAATTGATTGGATTCATATCTTACGTAAAGTAGAAAAGTTGTTTTTCTCATAAAAATAATTTAAAGTTTAATCAATACAAGAATAATCTAAAATGAAATCTCACACAAAATTTGGCTTGACATGTGACATAGTCATGCAAAAAAAAGAAGGATAAGCACAATCCCGCTATTTTAGGCCTAATAATTTATCCTTTATGCGTACCGTTTTCTTATCTTTTTCTTTTATTAAGGATGAAAATGAACACGCGCTTTGTTTAACAAATTATCTTGTTTATGTTCATTCGTTTACGTCCATTAACATTAACATGTTAAACGAACAAAATTAAAAACACCATTGAAAATATATGAACATAAACGATCATATAATATAGTGATGTACTAAAAAACAATTGAACATATATATAAACATAAATAAACATTAATGGATGTAAACGAACAAAATAAACGAGCATTCACAAACATAAATGAACAAACGAGACTATTGTTCATGTTCGTTTAACTTAACAAATAAAAATTTGTGTTAATGTTTGTTCATTTATCAAATAAACGAACTTTCTGACGAAAGGTTAGCGAAAAAGTTAGACTTGTTTAAAACTCTATTTTTTTACTATAACTTTCTCAACTTTCAATACGCCGGAACATTCTCAACTTTCAACATTCGTATACGAAAATTATCTAAGATCATAGACATTAAATAAAGTATAATATTATTTTCATAGTTTGTAAAAGGGTTCTGGAGGAACAAAATTAGTGAATCACTCGGTAACATACCTCTGTGTCAATGTAGTAAGCCCAAAATTTGAGAACAGATTGATCTGCATGATCATTTGGGTGGAGTTTGTAGACATCGGGGTAGATTTGTTCTAAGTAATCGATTATGATAAGAGATTCAAGAATCGGTGGTTTGTTTGATTGTATAAGAACAGGAACTCGTTTAAAAAGTGGGTTTGATGTCAATAAGAGCTCACTTTTATCATTGAAATCTTCTTCAATGAACTCGTATTTGATAGATTTGAGGTTTAGGACGAACTGAACCCTGCTGGTATATGGACTTGCAATGTTGCCCAGAAGCTTTATTTGACTGATTTCCGTCATTGAATGAGATAGATGTAGACTTGAAGAGGGAGAAGAAGTTATATATATAATATACAAAATATAATCATATATGGCCCCTAACGTTTAGATAAATGACAAAAGTTACCCCTGGTTTGAGGGGTTACAGCTTGCTTTTGTTGGACTTTTGGGAGATTAAAATAATATGAAGCCCCCCTTTGAATGAGAGGGAGTACTTTGACTTTGTATATTGTAATAATGAGAAGTTATAATTTAAAGATAGTGTAATATAACTTTAGAAAGTTACATCATAACATGGAAATTCAATTTTAAATGATTGTTATTGGTAGAAGATCAATTTGAACTTCTCTGGTTAAATATTAAATATTTGTCCTTCATATCTTATATTGCTTTCATATCTACCAACCCCATCTACTACATCTCATATGGACTACTATGCAAAGCACTTATTTTGAATACATTTTTTTAACATTAGAAATATAACTTATATGAGGAGTACACTGGCACACAATAACCATCATGTCCAAAAAAAAACTAAACAAAATTGTAAAAAAAAAAGCAAGTAACAAAAACTATAAAAAAAATGATTTTGAAAAAATGGTGAACCGTACGTATATATGTACGGTCCACGCCAGCCCGTCTGAAGACACATGTAGGAAGTCAATCGCAAAACACTAACAATACTTTAAGTATTTCATGATTCGAATCCCAAACCTCATTTGTGGAATTCACTTGCAACCATTAGGCTCCCATCATGGGGATTAAAATATAACTTTGAATATCATCAAAGTAATTACATTTTCATAAGATCATATATTATGCCAAATCAGTTTTTTTTTTTCAAATTAACTTTAATTTGTGATTGCATTTATAAAACAAAAATAACTTCTTAAAATTGTTAATTCCGCAAAAGACCATTCCTGGATTGTAGCACATAATCTTCACTATTGGGTAACATAAGCTTTCGCAACGAATTCACGCAACTCCAAATCAGAACTCGCGAGACTTTAAATTTTTGTGAAATGAAAAAAGTTGGCTACAGGTCTCATACGTGTTTTTTCATATTCCATTGACCTCTCAGTTTGCAGACATCTTTGCGATGGCCTTCCTTCCATGCTTCTTCACGACTTTTAAGTTTTAGTTTAAATGTCTGGCAATCGTCTCTCATTCAAAATGTGGCAATCGTCTCTCAGTTTGCAGATATCTTCACGATGGCCTTTCATCCCTGCTTCTTCACGACTTTTAAGTTTTAGTTTAAATGTCCGACAATCGTCTCTCATTCAAAATGCGGAAATCACCTCTCGTTCATACTGCATGGGTGTTAGACTATCTTGTAATGTTGTATTATTTATCATACAATAAAATCACAACACTCTTATCTATAGTACCCGCTTTAGAGCTGGCTCCAATACCAGATGGTTTGGAGCCGATGACTTTGCATGGACACAAACAACGTGTCTTCCACCTGCACGCTGTGTGTCGTCCTGTTTTCCATATGTTCCTCCACCGTCTCGCTTATCACAAAATCATCAAAAGGTTTCTTTTATATTTGTTGAAATTTCCACTCACCGCCAACAGAAGAGGTAAAGATCACTACCTCTACCGCTCTACCTCATTTTGTTTCGTTGTAAACCCTTGATTTTCTGTCTCCCCCTCTTTCCACCAGCTTTCTGACGTCGACTTCTCCAAGACCGGTGACTCCACCACCATCGGACCGTCCCTTGTATTCCGATTGTCGACGACACGTCAATTATGTGTCTTCTCCGTCTTTTCCATTGAATTGAGAGTGGAAAGGGGAAAAAGATATTTGTGTTCGTCTGTGTGAGAGAGAAGGTGAGAGCAGAAATCATGGACTTCCGGTTCCTCGATTTTACGTCTCCTCTAGTTTCATCTCGGTACATCTGTCTCCTTCTCTATTCGATCAGTTGATTTCCTTCACTCCATATGGTTTTGTTCACATGCATGCTATGTTTTTTTGCTGATTACATCCTTGAATGTTCCTCTTTCCCATGAATTCCATACAGTGATGGTATCAAGGCATCAAGAAAAAAAAAGTAAAAAACCATGTAAAAAACATCTAATCTTTTGAATTTTGAGTGATTAATTTAGGGCTCTTTTTCCTCTTCATCTTTTACTGATTTCATTTATGTTCATCGTACCCCGATTCTTCAGCTCTGCCATGATCAATCCATCTAGAGTCAAACAAGTTTAATCGAAACCCAGTTCAGTTTGATTTAATTACTTTCACCCAGTTATTTATACAAATCTTTGAGCTTTTTCATTCATTTATAATCACTAGCTCGGTTTATTTGTTTTTGTTTCATGATTTGATTTGTGCAGGGCTTTCGTGTACGAGGGTTTTCTTACAGAAGATGAATGCGATCACATGATTTCCCTTGTGAGTTGCGCTTGATTTCTTTTATATTTCCTATTGCAACTTTCATGTAGATATCAACGTAGCTCATATTGAAACTAATAAAGTAGAAAAAATAGAAACAATTTTTTATTGATTATTTGTTTCTTCCAATTGAGTTGTTATAGGAAAGGTTATAGATGTTTGTGATTGCTAGTACTCATTACACGAACAAATAAGGGAGTATTTGAACTGAATTTGAGGTTTTATTCTTAGAAATGATGAATATTGTAAAATTTGTTTCTGGGATGTAAGAGTAAAATGGTCTTTTGGTATCATTCAGACGGTTTATTCCGTCTAGAAAAAAAAAAGTGCCCTTAAGCATACTGTAATGGCTCAAAAATCACAACAAATTTAAACGTTTAAGAACAACCCATAGTCATAAAATGTTTACAAAATCATTGTTTCCAAATTGTTTATCAACATCAATGTATCCCAAAATCATAGATTCATAAAAAAGAGGATGTGTACGGTCACGCCTTCGCCTTCCCGCAATCATCAGACATACCTGAATATAATAAACTAAAACCGTAAGGCAAAGCTTAGTGAGTTCCCCCAAAGTACCACCACATACAACATATCAAACAACAACATACATAACTGAGCCTTCAACCTGACTAGACCGCCTTGCAGGGTCTACAACTTATCTGGACCGCTACCAAGCCTTTGACATGACTGGACCGCCCCGCAGGGCCTACAGCCTATCCGGACCGCCTCGCAGGGCCTATAGTGTATCCGGACCGCCCTGGGTATCTTGGCCTTCAACACAAAGTAGGACCACCTCAACCCAACCAACCATAACATGTCGACATACACATAACATATAAACATATAACCAAGCATCAGACAAACAGGCAGATTTAACCAAGCATCAGACAAACAAGCAGATTTACAGATCACTACTGCATGTTAACATCCTATATACCAGGATACCGATCTAACAAGTCTCTACAACATAATACCATACTATCATATAACAAGATATCCAATCCACTAGGCCGACCTCTGTGCCTTCAATCCGTAAGTACAGTGAGGAAGACTCACCTCACAGTCTGACGAAGAGTTGAACGATAAATTGCTCTAAATACCGGCTCTACAGGGCACCTATTCAACAAATAGAGACCAAGACTTAATTATTGCTCAAAATACCCAAAATACCCTTTAGTCAAACTTAGTCAACCTTGGTCAAAGTCCAAGTCAAAGTCAAGAAAGTCAGCCCAGATCGAGTACACCCCACGTACTCGGCTCGTACACCCCGCGTACTCGCGATCCAGATCAGGCTCCTATAGGCGTACTGTGACATCCCCAATTTCACGGTCAGAAAAGGACGATTTGTTTATGCTTTGTTTTATAAATCAGAGTGATCGTTTAAAGAAAACGGTTGCGGAATTTGTCCCAAAAAAAAATATGATAACCATTTATCAAAACATTCTCAGAGAGAATGTATTTTCATTATATAACAAAATCTCGGGATGTCATGTTCAATACAAACCAAAAGCATAAACAGAACAACATAGACCTTACACAGTTAATTATAACTACGGGCCTATAATCCATATCTCTCGTTACGTCAGCCAACTTATACTCTTGTGCCACAACCTGTAATACAAAGAAAACTGAATGGGTCAGGCTTGGGAGCCTGGTGAGCATATAGGGTTTTCAACCCACAATATTATATATATATATATATATATATATATATATATATATATATATATATATATTCAATCATCAAACGATCATTCCAATTACCCATCCCCATTATCTTCCTTACTCTTAAGGGTCTACCCTAAGAGTCATCTATTCGTTCACTCCGTATTAGGCACTAAGACAATAGCTGCCAGGATTCTTTATTTGGCACTAAGACAATAGCTGCCAGGATTCTTTATTTGGCACTAAGACAATAGCTGCCAGGATTCTTTATTTGGCACTAAGACAATAGCTGCCAAGGTTCTTTCGTAAAGCACTAATTCCATAGCTGCTATGGCTCATTCATCGGGTACTAAATCCATAGCTACCAGTGTAGGTACTAAGTCCATAGCTACCAATGTTTATCTAACAGGTACTAAGTCCATAGCTATCATCGTCTATCTAACAGTACTAAATCCATAGCTACCAGCGTTCGTCTATACGGTACTAAATCTATAGCTACCAAGGTTCATCTATACAGTACTAAATCCATAGCTACTGAGGTTTATCTTTACAGTACTAAATCCATAGCTACCAGTGTAGGTACTAAGTCCATAGCTACCAACGTTTGTCTATACGGTACTAAATCCATAGCTACCAAGGTTCGTCTTTCGTCTCATCCTCAAACTCATCCGTCATCACACACCAACTAATTCGTCTACCCATGTTCTACCCAACATATTTGTAGATATAACATACATATACAGTTTAACTCATTTAAAACCTATATAAAACATCCATTCCACGCTTATCTCAAATAAACAACAATATATAAACACATAACACGTATTTCGTAGCAAATACTTAATACTTATATGTTAGAAGAAAGTAACTATACACTCACTCATAACATAGATATAATACATTCAACCAATACTTGTACTAAGATCGTGTTTATGAAAGGGACTATACATTTACTTGATCAGAAGATGATCGG